GAGTTAACTACATGGGACCTCTAAGGTGATGCTTGCTATTCTACCTTTATCAGCATGCCCTAATTAAGTGTAGGTCTAGACGGATTAGAGAAACCTGTATCATTTAGAGAAAATGGCAGCGGAAACTGACATGAAATACCGCGGGAAGAAAAGCAGTATATCGACACAGTAAAGATCACCATTGAATGATTAATGTGACAAATAACAAAATAAAGATGATGTACATAGAAATATACATCTCCAAGCACTATGTTCATCTCATTTTTTTCTCTGTAACCATCATCGTGTTGTATGCTTATCTTTTCTCTGTAACTATCGACCTTATATCTTATGTTGGGGGTGAACACTTGAACTGATAGGCGCAGTTGTGGATGGCAGGTTGTGGAGATTCATGATCACTCACGCCAGTTGACAAGGCACTGGATATTGATAGTGTAACTTTCATTCTAAATTCTGTATGACAGTGCATGTTGAAGCATTGGTAAATTACTCATTTTGAAAGACAAATAATTTATATAATAGCATGCACAAATGTGTATGCCCGAAAGACTAGAAGTAAGGATAGTCGGAAAAGGGGGGGGGGGGTGCTTTCATTTTAGCTCATCCCAAACACGGCGAACCCCTGGAAAGTCAAAAATTTAGGGGGTTTGTGGTTTGAAATAAACATCAACTAACCTTAACACCCCTATATTAGATTTTTCGGGGGTTACCCCTGTTTGGGGTGAGCTAAAAGGAAACTGCCGGAAGACCAAAAGAGAAATTTGATAGTTTGGTATCTTAGCACCCAAAAAAAAAAAAAAAACAACCCACCAGTATCATAAATGATTGACAGTACAGGAAACGAGAGGCTTGCAACACCACACGACATGGAATGAAAGTTTGCACATGCAATATGGTACGTCCTAGGTGCAGACCGGAAGTGTGAAAGAGATGCGTGCAGGCGATGTCTGCTGGGCTTTCTCTGAAAACTCATAGAAGTCTTCGATAATAGGTGTGTATTAGTTAGTTAATCGAACGATCATTCACATCCGACAAGTCCATAAGCGCTCAGATCTCATCTTCAGTATCTCCCTTAGCGTGTGGCGACTGATAACACCAGTTCTGTGCTGGTTTAGTATTTTTCTTTGTTCATGTCTAGCAAAACCTCTTTTGACGTAAAGTTCTTGTACTACTGACGATTCTTCTATGAATAATCTACTCATTGTGGCGTCCAAGGCGGTTCTTTATTAATATTTTAGAGGGTGGTAAGACTGGGTTTCCTGACTTTTTTAATGCTTTTAACGACCCCAAAACATCTAGAACTGGCCCTAACCCCAATCCACCTACGTCCCACAAAAGAGTGCAGCCTAGGTCCCATGACTTCATGCAGCCTATCTATTACCCCCTGAAATATTAGACTGTCCCGTGACCTGTGGATTTTCCTTGTTAGGGGTAGGATATTAATAAAACACCTTCAAGTCTTAGGCGTTGCGAGTCCGACTCGTAATTCCAACTTACCGCGACCGAGACCCAATGCTGGCAGTATATGTTGTTACGATGGTATGAGGCGTCGCCGGTCGATCCAGTCTAAAATGGGTACCAGGATGTATATGTATCCTGGAGAAATAAATACGGTCGGCGTAATGCTGACCAAATAAATTGTCGATGGCAACGAGGTGTCTGAGAAAGGCTGTAGGAGTGACCAGAAGATATACAATCAAGGACGAGGTCATATGAGAACCAATTCTAAATTACATAGAAAGTTAGCAAATCAAATAATTTGCCTACTTGGAGACAATGCCTTCTGATGCTATACGTTTCAAGGTATATACCGAAAGAGGAGAGGGATGTAGAGCAAGAAGTAGACTAAGAACGAGATCGAAGGATATCATCAGAGAAACTCTACAGCCCCATGACGTATCTTTGGTCGAAGCAGCCAGAAAAGCACGAAGCAGGAGCTTAAATCTCCCTCGACACCTAAAGCGGTAAAGGAGATGAAGACCGTATTAGTTCTGTATTGTCACAGTACACTAGGAAGGTAAAGGTGAGCGGGTTCACTTCACTGCACAGGGCTTCATCCCATATGACTCAGTCTCTCTCAGCAGAACAGCTATCAGCTTGCCGAGAGCGTCGCACAGAACACGAATTCTGTCTCTGTAGCTCCAGCAACGATCGCCATCAATTTCCCTAAGATTTATACTCGTGTGAACTGAATGGAGCCCCCGCAAAACTAACCCACGACTTTCAGAGTGCAAGGCAAACGGCTTAACCACTTCGCCATGGAGACCCACAGTACACAAGGAATAGCTGTGTAGTGTGCTCAAGAAACAATCGTGTGTTAGCCGAAGAGCAGTGAGTCTTGTACAGTTGTGCACTTTGGACACATCATACGATTTGAACAAAATCTCAATTTGTTGTATTTTACTATGTGCTTTTTTGAGGAGCATTGGACCTATTTTCCCACCTTCAAAGTGGAATCTCACAGCGGGTTTCTAGGGTGAAGCGGAAAATGTTAACAATTCTGAAACCATGGAACGTACTCTGGACTCTCTCGTGGGACCTAGGTTTAGGCTGTGGGATAGGGGGGTTTGAGTTAGGGCCAGTTCTACATGTTCTGAGGTCGTTACAAGCTGTGTCGTCGTGTAGTATAGAACACGCGACATCGACGCTGATTTAATTGGTGACAAGACAACGTGACAGCCCTCTAACATAGATTGGCCCGTGTCACTGGTGCGAAAACATGCATGAAAGCCCAATTACGCTTTGTTTGGGCCGGGAAACGTAAATAGGACGCGCATGAAAATGGTCCTATTTCAGTGAATGGATGAGCCCATGAATTTGCTGGCATGTGATGAGGTCTTTCCACGTGCAATTTCCCACGCCGCAAGCCACTACAATCTTCATCGCTGAGCACTTGAGTTCAAAAGTATGAAAATGCCACTAATCCCGAGTCCCCCTCCCTTCCCCTACTATAATTTGCGTTTCTTAATACGTTAGTCTTCCCACCGAATGTTGGTCAACTCCATTGATAAGTTTGCTTGACTAGTCTACCGTGGTTGAGGTTATGAGTGTCGCGGTCTCTTGTTGTCTTGCATTTACGTTTTTATTCCGAGAAAGAGACGGCCTGTGACATAGGTTTCATCACTCTCTAGGGGGTTGTGTGTTAGACCCAGTATCTAAATGTTTTTACAGTGTTAAAAGCTCTGGCAAGGTGAAATATACAACATGTGATATCAGCGCCAGTGCGGAATAGCATAGTGACCTTGTTTGAAAGTCGGATCGCTCGAGTCAGACCTATCAGCAGTGAGGTAGGCTGGAGGTCGACCAATCAGAAGCGAGCTAGTCTGGTAGTCTTAGTTTCAGCTTCATAGCAAACGGGTGCTACCATCTTTGCACCGCTCCTGTGCCAACGAAAAAAAAACAAAACAAAAAAAAACACGGAATGTATCCCAGTCTCTTGTGGAAAGATTGACAGACTGCTGTCTCAGCATATCTGGCATACACACACACACACATTAAAGCATACGATAGCCATCCGAAGTGCTAACACAAACAGTCTGACATTAGAAATGCAGTTCATCATTGATGGTAGCAGAAGTCACCAACATTTCAGCAGTTGCACACGCGATCAATTTTAATCACATACTGGCACCACCAACATTGTGACAACTGGCATCGCACCATGTTCTGAATCTACAATTCACACCACCACTTTGGTCACAGTCGAAAAGACATTCCAAATGAAATCCGCGAGCTAGTGTGTACCGGTGGGTAAATGGGGAGACCAGCGTATTTATAACCCAATCTGCAGAGAGATAAGACCGTTATGGTCACACGTGAATTATTTTCACAATTTGGGATCTATCCAATCCAAACCCAGAAACTGTTTTCAACACTTTTGGCAAAGTAAAACAATCAAAATTTGGCCAAAACACACACGATGTATCTAAAGAAACTATTCACATTTCAGTTGGATTTATTCAGGTTTATGCTTGATTTCATGTTGATGTAACTCTGTAGTAAAGCACCCGACGAGATACAGCGAAATATGCCTGTCAATAAACTATGCAATGTATTGTTTGTGTCCGCATTATTTAAAATTTTAAAACTATAATAAATGGTGGTCCTAAAGGGTGTTCTGTAGAAGATAGAGGCGAACTAGCTCGATCGACGCCTGGCCAAAATATAACGGAACATATTTGGATACATAAGGGCAAAAAAGACTGAGACTAAACCGGAAAAAGATGAACCAGATAGAAAAATAATAGAAAGACAAGAACAAAACGAAGACACATAAAGGAGCGGTATAGCTGCTAAGATACAACATCAAGCCAGAGAGCTGGCGCACATACCATAATTTTAGCCACGCGGGTGGCGCAAACAAACCAGACCATGAATATAACCAGAGACTGTTGGCAACACAAAGTTGAACGTGGTTGATTTTTTTTTTTTTTTGAAGTGCGGTGACGATAGTGGATGTGTTCAAAAGCTGTTCATATTCCATCGCTAATAGTTTAAATGTATAAAGTTAATTGCGTATTTTTAAAAGAATGTTGCCGAACAAAAACCAGCATTTTTTTTAGCTGTTGTGGTTTTTTAACGCTAACTTTTACGCTCAATAGTTTGCCATTGCTTTCTGAGCTGTCTCTCGGTACCACTGTTGAAACCAACACAGGACAAACCGTCCGGATCGTACCCGGCATCACGAAGCGCGTTCGCTTCGCCCAAGCCGCACACACCCACGTTAATGTGTATAGTGAAGCAAATGTCCCTTTTCTTCGCCTTTAGGCGTATAGGGCATATAGGGCTAGACCTATATTTTTATAGACCAATCGGCACAATTTGGGTGATGTGGTCAGCATCGGGCCGGAAGGTGATTAGTGGAGTTTTATAAATATTACACCTGTTTAACATGGTGATTGTACAGTCACCCCCCGATTATGAAAACATTAATGACGGCAATCTATTCACCCAGGTGAAGAACTCGAAAAACTGGCGCCGGAATCCATAGAAAAACTAACATGGCGCATGCCAAACCGGATAGCCATGACTGTGAAGCAGCCATCCCGGAATCAGACCGGCTGTACTTAAACGTGGGTGGCACTGTTTTCATCACGTCGCGCTTCACCCTGAGACGCTATCCCTACACCCGGCTAGGCAGGCTGGCCATGACCTCGCTACAGGAACTCCACTTCGACAGGGACCCTAGACTGATGGGTTTTATCCTCGATCTCTACAGAACAGGACAGCTCCATGTACCTAGAAACTGCTGCAGGTAGATGTTAGCTAGGCAGTGTTTAGACATTGCTGCGCTGGCTGGTTAAAGGTAGTTTTACTGCTTGACCAGGCGTAATTTTACTAACTGACAACGGGTATATTTACTGTCTGACCCATAGGTGGCAGGAAAAAAAAAAGAGGAGAGGTGGACTAAACCACCAGTAACTAGCCTAAGCTGTTTGTTAAAGATTGCTTATTTTAAACATCAATCCAGTGACTTTATATGACTTGGCACAGTATAAAACAGCGATAGCTTAATAATACCGTTGTGTCTGCACCTGTCCTAACCTAGAATAACAGTAAGTCAGCGCCTTCGTGTTACAGTGTATGTATTATCAGGAAATATGGACATATGCGCCTCTGAGCACTTTTGACCAAGAGTAGTGTTGCTGTCTGACCGGGTTTATATTTACTGTCTGACCAGGGGTAGCTTTACTGTCTGATCAGTGGTAGCTTTACTGATTGATCGGGGGTAGATTGTACTGTTTGACAGGGGTTATATTTACTATCTGACCAGAGGTAGTTTTTGCCGTCTGACCATGGTTTATAATTACTGTCAGACCAGAGTTATATTTACCTTCTGACCAAGGGCAGATTTACTGTCTAGCAAGATTACTGTCCGACCACAAATAGTTGTACTGCCCTAACAATGATAGTTTTACTGCCTGACATAGGATAGTTTGACTGTCTAAACAATTTAAATTCATTGCCTGAAACTGTTTAGCTTTAGTTTGTGAACCATTAGCAAGGAGATCGAAATTAGAATTTTGAGAGCAAGCATATTCCTCGCAGCAACATACGGATGTGAATCATGGACTATTTTCCAGTACTTAAGAAAGAGAATGCGGGTTTTTGAGCTGAAATGCTACAGAAAGATTCTCAGAATATCTTGGACAAAGAAGAGGAAAAATACTGACATTTTGAAAGATCTGAACATCAAGGAAGATTGGCTAATGAACAGCATCCTGTCTTGGAAATCAAGCGCCACGGCGGAATGGAAAAAAATAATAGAAAAAAGGCTGGTTACAGAAAGGAGGGAGCAGGAACTGACCAACACGAAAATGGGCACAAGATATAAGTGACTCCTTGAGTATGAAAGTACATGAGGCGGGAGAGCTGGCGAGAGACCCAGTTTCTTTCAGGCAGACCGTGATGAGAGCGACGTTCTGCAAAAGACCTGCTACCTGATGACGATGATGAGTTTGTGAATAGTTTTTCAGTGTAACTAGGGATTGTTTCAATGACTGTTGTGCCTAAAACATCTTTACATTTCGAAACCTGGTGCCTGTCTCAACGTAGGGCGACATCAGAGCCCATTTCAATTATTAAAAAAAAAAAAAAAAAACCACCCTTGGGAAGGGGTGGGGGGGGCAGCTACTTGATCTCCAGAATTTGAGATTCTTCTTCTTCTCGACATTCACCAGTTGTTAACTCCGATGGAAAGGTCTGGTTGTTAGCCTACTTCTAGACTTTAGTCTTGCGTGCTTTGTTAATATCCAACTACAAACAAGGGGAAATCCACAGGTCACGGGACAGTCTAATATTTCATGGGGTGGTAGATAGGCTGGATGCAGTAGTAGAAGCTAGGCTACAGGCTCTCGTGGGACGTAAGTGGGTTAGGGTTAGGGCCAATTCTAGATGTTTTGGGGTTGTTAAAAGCATCAGAAAGCCGGGAAACCCAGTCTTACCACCCTTTGAAATGTCGGACTGTCCTGTGGCGTCAACTGGGGTAGGATATTAATAAAGGACCTAGTCTTGTTCTTAAAAAAAAAAATCCATGACTAGGAAATGTGAAATTAATTTATTTCAGTCTTCTAAGTGAATAGCTATAAAATGTGAAATGATGCATACAGTGTATGTTTGTCCTGTCCTGTCCTGACAGCATGGCTATGAAATGCGAGATGAAGTTCTGGGATATACCAACCGACCTAGTGTCCGAATGTTGCTGGACAGTGTTTGAGGAAGGCGACAGAAGGCAGGTGATCATTGATGACATCGACAAGACGCTCAAGTATGTTTTTACGTCTAAGTTCACAACTTCTTCTTCTTCTTCTTCTTCACTTCCTCTTTTACCGCTGTGGGTGTCGAGGGAGATATAAGGTTCTGTTTCTAGCTCTTCTGGCTGCCTCGACCATAGGCACATCGTACTGTTGTAGAGTTTCTCTGATGTTATCCTTCCATCTTGTTCTTGGTCTACCCCGTGCTCTACGTCCTTCTTCTCTTTCCATGTATGCTTTGTATGGTATGGTGTCACAAGGCATTCTCTCTAAGTGGGCAAACCATTTCACTTGCTGACTTTGTATGTAATCCAGAATTGGTTTTGTGCCGACTTGTTCTCTTATGATCTCATTTCTGATCTTATCTCTCATGGTCACTCCTACAGCCCTTCTCAGACATCTCATTTCCGTGGTTACTAATTTTCTTTTATGGTTTGTTGTGAGTGACCATGTCTGGCACTGGTAGCACAGAGTTGGAATAAATATGCTTTGAATAAGATGTCTCTTTGTGCTGATTGGGATTGTCTTATGATGTAAGAGGGGGGCTAGCTGTCCCAATACTTGGTTTGCTTTACTGCATCTAATGTCAATTTCTTTATCCAATTTCCCATCTTCGGTAAATGTAGTTCCCAGATATTTAAACTCAGATGCCTGTTTAATGCCTTTGTATTCTATTGTTATGTTTAGATCTGCCTTCGTTTTTCCTCTTGACATTACTTCTGTCTTTTCAGTGTTGATTCTCATATTATTTGTTTTACATTCTTCATTCATGGATGTTAGATGTTGTTGCAATTTCATGGCTGTATCTGCTATCAAGGCCTGGTCATCTGCAAAGAGTAATTCGTTGATCTTACTAAGATCTTCATTCATGGGCTTGGCATTCTTGCATATACTGTCGATGTAGGTGATAAACATCAGTGGTGATAAGACACACCCCTGTCTTACTCCAGATGTCACCGTGAAAGGATGAGATGTTCCCTGATTTATTCTAACTACACGTCTACAATCCCTGTATAAACTTTTGCACACTTCGTTGAGGTGTTCGCTTACTCCATATCTTGCCATTATTTTCCATAATAATTGTCTGTCGACTTTGTCAAATGCCTTCTCCTGGTCTACGAATGCCACAAATAAGTTCTAATTGTATTCAATGTTCTTTTCTATTAACTGTTTAAGTGTGAAGATTGCATCTGTGCAGCTTCTATTTCTCCTAAATCCCATCTGTTCTTCTGCCAGCTGTGGTTCTATCACTGGTCTCAGTCTTGTTTCTATTATCTTGGCATACATTTTGCCAACATGGCTTAAAAGAGAGATGCCTCGATATTGACCGCATTCTCGTTTGCTTCCTTTGTTCTTCCACAATGGTATAACTATTGCATGTTGCCAATCAATAGGGGCCGTTTGTTGTCCCCATGCTGCATTGAATATTCTGTGAAGCCATCTGATGCTGCTTTCACCTGCTGCTTGAATTATTTCTGTTGGTAATCTATCAGCTCCTGGTGCTTTATATTTGGGAGACTGTTTAATGACTTTTTCTATTTCATCCATTAGTATGTGTGGTTCTAACACTGTTGCTCTGTGCTCTTCAGTTGTTCTTTCCTGATGATCTCCTAGAGGATTAAAGAGCTCATTGAAGTATTCCCTCCATCTTTCTGCAATCTCGGATGGATCTATCAGTGGCCTTCCTGTCTTATCATTAATTATTTCAGTGGGGTTGTAGCTCTCATCTCTTTTCCGCATATTTTTAACCACTGTGAAAAATTTTCTGCTGGCTGTCTTCTCATTTTCTGCTAGTGACTCACCGAAACGTTCCCATGATGCTTGTTTTGCTTTCTTGACACTCCTGTTGGCTTCTCTCCTTTGCAGTCTATAGTTTATATAATCTTCTTCTTTCTTTGATTTTATCCACTGTTTATATAAGTCTTTTTTCTTTTTAATTGCTTCTTTTACTTCTTCGCACCACCAAGGTGAGTATTTGTTATTTCCCCGTCTGTTTCCACTCTTCCGTTTTCCACATAATTCTTCTGCAATACTAAGCATAGTGTTTTTATATATACTCCATTCTTCCTCAATATTGCCAACTACATGTGGAAGTTGTTTGAATGCTGTCTCTACTTTCTGTTGTAACTGTTCTTTTACTCCTTCCTGTTTGAAATTTGCTATCTTGATGAGATCCTTGTTTTTGTTTAATTTCTTACTGTATTTCTTTAATGTAAGATGTTTTGCTGTTAACACAACTATTTTATGATCAGTGTCACATAGACCATTAGGGATTGCTCTTGAATCAAGAATTCTCCTTCTTCCTTGAAATCTGGTAAGAATAAAGTCAATCTGGCTCTTGATGGAGATATCATTCCATTTGTACCAAGTGTAAAGTTGTGAATCTCTATGGTCAAAGAATGTGTTCGTAATAAAAAGATTGTGCTGGCTGCATAGATCCAATATTCTTTGACCATTTCCATTTCTAGCACTGTTCTTAGCTGCATATGGACCTAAAAATTGTTCGTATTCTCTTCTGTTATTTCCTACCCTCCCGTTGAAGTCACCCATCACATATAGTATGCTGCTTCCCTCAACTTTCTTTATCTCATCAGACAGATCGTCAAAGAATTCATCTTTCTGCTCTTCTGTATAATTATCATTGCATGGTGCATATATCTGTATATATGTTTCAGCTTGTTCTCCTCTTTTAATTTTCAAAGTAATAATTCTATCTGAGTGATAATGTATGTCTAATATGTAGTTAGATATGTCTGAATGTACCAGGAAACCTACTCCATTCTTCGATGTTTCTCCTCCTGCATATGTTAGTAAGTAGCCTCTGTGTATTTTCTTATTAATATTTCCCTTGCGTCTTATGTCAGCTAGCCCCATTAACTTGATTTTCCTTTTTTCCATCATTTCAATAATCTCTTCTGTTTTATTTCACAGGCCAGCGGTGTTAAGTGTTGCAATCTTGTATTTCGCTGTTCTGTCTCGTAGTCCCTTAACATTGCCATGGTCAGATACCGTTTGATCAGTCCGTTTATATCTCAGTTTGATTTTTGTAGCGGTAAATAATCCATTGCCGGCTTGCTAGGCCTGTCGCAACTTCACCAGAGCCCCGTAGGCCAAGACGTTTCGGGGTGACCCAGGGTGGCCTTCATGGCTACCGTAGCGGTCCCGTGGCACGAGGCCACACCAGACTTCGCCCACACCTAGCAATCCCCTACTTTGTCCTGTTACCACCTCTCACGACGAGGACGTGGGGTTGGTCTTTGAGAGGCTAAGTTCACAACATCGTCAAGAATTTATTTCCCTCACAATGGGCCCATGCAACCTACACTTAAAGCAGGGTTATTCAACTGGTGGACCGCGGGCCAAATCTGGCCCGTGAAGTCATAGCAGGTGGCCCGCGGATCATTGTCAGTTGTACTATAATAATGAGCTGCTTATGCTGGGGCGTAGGACTCTGGCACGTGGCGATACCCATTTTCAAAATGTTGACTCCTGAGCAAATTTAGTTGAATAGCCCTGTCGTACACTATTATCCCCTTGTGAGTTTCGCAGCGTAAATTTTAGAGGTTCGGTTGAGGATGGGTTAGGGGTGGGGGGGGGGGTGGAACAGACACATTGTCATCCAACAATCATGAGGGGAGTAGAAGGTAAAAGAAAGAGAAAAAAATAATGAGACCGCCGAACATCCACATTGATAGATGTTTATGAACTGCAAACGTTGATGAACTGTAGACATTGATGAACTGTAGACGTTGATGAACTGCCTCGTTTGATTCACAAGTATAGTTCTTATGGGGATTTGGGAAGCTTCGAGGCTCGTGCTTTGTAATAACCTGCTGCAATGTAGCCTTGTAAAGGCTAAGAAAGGTCAAACCAGAAAAGTGCCTGTCTTAACTGGATATACAAACTCACATACCTGACTAACAACAGTTCAATGCTAGTGGCCAACAATTCAGTGCAACTGAGCAACAGTTCAGGGGTTCTACTGACCAACAGCTCAGTGCAGCTGACTAAGACTTTACTGTAATTGACAGCACTCCACGACTCAAGTAACAAATTATTGTAAATCAGCAACAGTTCGATGCAAACGACAGTCCACTGTGACTGAGCTACACTTCCATGTGACCGAGAAACAGTTCGCTACAACTGAACACAGGTTAACAGCAATTAAAAACCAGCTCACTCAACTAAATAATAGCCCACTGCAACTGAACAACAGTTCAGTGCAGTTGACCAAACACTCACTGCAGCTGGACAACAGTTCAGTGCAATTTACCAAACGCTCACTGCATCTGATAAACAGTTCACAGTAACTGACTAAAGCTCACTGCAAATGACTAGCAGCTCACTACAACATAACAACAATTCAGTGCAATTTACCAGACGCTCACTGCAACTGACAAACTGTTTGTTTACTGAACCTAAACCAAAGCTCACTGCAACTGATCAAAGCTCACTACGGCTTCACAACAGTTCAGTACAATTTACCAACCGCACAATGCAACTGATCAAAGCTCACTACGGCTTCACAACAGTTCAGTGCAATTTACCAACCGCACAATGCAACTGATCAAAGCTCACTACGGCCTCACAACAGTTCAGTACAATTTACCAACCGCACAATGCAACTGGCCGGCAGTTTTATGTTTGTGAGCAACAGTCCAATGTGACTAACCAACAATTCAGTGCAACTGACTAACAATTCACTGCAACAATATACCACATATCTTCCTGAGAGGTGTCAATCAGTACTTCTAAATCTAATCTTCCCTGTAGTAAAATCAGACTCACCAAAGGGGAAGAAACAATCACGTTTGCAGTAGATGTGTGATTTTTTGATTATCGTGGTGAATGATTTCCGTGACATAATTCGATAACCCAGTGACCTGACCTGCAACAAAATAGCATTTACATGGTTACCTCCGATCTGGTCAACCGTAATAGAGGGGAGATCATCGATCTGCAATCGACTCGACTTCAGTGACTGAAACTATACACGCACATTTCCTTCCCTTGA